ATCATACCAGGGTTATTATTTTCCAAAAACTATTTTGTTTAAAAAAGTTCTTGAAAAAAAACTCTTGTTATAGATGCTCTTGATTAACAAGGAGAGCTTGATGAAAAAGGAGAAATGACTCAGGAAAGTAACGAACTATTGATTTTGTTTACTTTAATTCCCTTTTTTGTACGCCATATACTATCTAACTTGTTCATATATTACCCTTACGACATGCTACTGTAGGTAAAAGGGTAATATGTGAACAGTTCTAACAAGTTGGATGGTATATAGTGTATAAAAAGAAAAGGATTAAATGTGAACAAGCAAAAAACCTTCCCAACCACCTCCTCCACCGCCGCCTATGCCACCTCTAACACGACCAACACCACCACATCCATTGTTACCGAAACCACATCCTCCATCACCACTACCGCCTCCGTCACCACCTCTATTACCGCCTTCACCTTCGCTACCCACCGTCACCACATCCTTCACCTCCACCACCACCTCTACCACCACTACCACCATCCTAGCCTTTTCCACCGCCACCAACTCTGCCACCACCACTTACACATTCGTCGCCCTCTGCTATCACCACCACCATGATGGCGGTGGTAGAGATGGCAATGGTGATGATGGAGACGAAGGTGGTGGCGATGGCGGCGATGCAGGCTATGGAAAAAATCAAAGCTAAAAAGCTAAGACTTTTGGAAAAAAATCAAAGGTAAAAGATGTTTGACAAAAGACTTTTAAAAGGTACTTTTGGATTTTGGATAGAAGGAAAATCAATTTTTTGAAAAGTCAGGAAAACTTGACTTTTTGAAACTTTTCTAAAAACGACTTTTGGCATCTAAAAAGCTAAGGCCCCCCCCCCCCCCCCCCCCCCCCCATTAAAAAACGAGAAGATTAAATACTTAAATAAGTACCGGTTGAATAAAATGAAGATTGAACATAATAAAACGTACCTTCAATATATATTTTTTTGGTAACGTCATATTAGATTTTGTTTTAAGGAACATGCCTTTCAAAATTAAAGAATAATATTATCTTATAAATTTACAATGAAACAGAAGACTTGATTTTTTTTAAAACAAAATTAGTTATGAGTTTTTATTTGGTAGTTACTTAGGGAACCAATTATGACCATTTTTTGCTGCATCGTACAACACACGCGTAGTACTTGATATTTCGCAGCTGTTTGTTTTTTAAAAAACTTTTAACTTAAAAACTGTTATGTGTGTGTTGCATGACGAAACACTGGGCAATCATCTCTAAACCTCTTCTCACTTACTTTAAGTTGTATTATTCAACTAAAATTTGTTTCAATTTTTTTCAACATGTTTATTATTTTAATAATATTTGAAGTATATTTTCAACAACCGTTTGATAAATTTTATATAAATATCTTTTGTGTTACATTGTATATAACCAAATATTAATAAATTATAAAGTTAATCATCAAAATTACCAAATTTATTGAAGTTAACTGAAAAAATGATCATGGTCTTCAAAAATTTTACAAAATGACTATGTTTTTAGCTAAATTAACAATTTTATTATTGTTATTTAGCAAATATTATGTTTAATTATTCTATATAAACCTCTTTAAAAATCATATCATAAAGATGATTTTTAGATTTAATTTGCATATGATTAAACCAAATAAATTTTTTATTCAGATTAATTTTTAACTATTGTATATTTAATTTTAGCTCATTATAGTAGTGTGCAGATGTTAAAAAACAAACAAACTTCTTATTATGTTTGATCCACCTCTTCTACTACATAGGGTTACAGATGTCGTCTGCAGACTTCAGTCATTTTTGCTTCGAAAAAAACAAACAAACACCTTATTCGATTACATCAAAGTCCTTAAACAATAAGCATATTTTGTAAAATGATACTTGACTGAATATTATGTTTATGACTAAATTGAACAAATGGTCCATGTGGTTTGTTCAAAATTGCCACTTTGGTCCAAAAAGGTTTGGACTAGCACCATAGGTCCAAAGTTTTCATTTTGTTGCTAGTTTGGTCAAATTTGCTTTGAAATTTTTCATAATGACCATTTTACCCTTGCTTTTTTATTTATTTAAATATTTTCTGTTTAAAAGAAAAATAAAAAAAAATTGTATTTTCTATTTTACTTTTATAATTTTGTTTATAAAGGAATAAAAACAAATAAATAAAGTATACAATCTCTCTCTCTCTCTCTCTCTCTCTCTCTCTCTCTCTCCCCCCCCCTAAAATCTACAACCCCATCTTCTTTCATTCTCATATAAATGTCGATGCATCTTCTTCCATTTTCGTCATCAGCAAATATTTGAGTTGAAGCTTACATCAGAATACCCAGTTCAATGGCTTACACCCAAAATCAATTGTTCTTCACGACTTTTTTACACCAATCAGCACATGTGATCGATTCAGATTGAAAAAAAAATGAGAAATTGGCCCAAATCCTTTAACATAAAGATCTTCACGCATACCTGGATGATTGATCGAGTGAGTAACGATTTTATTGTAACTACGTATCGTAGTCGTTTCAAAACAGGGAGGAAAGTTGAAATCATAATCAAAGAAGAAGGTATGGGGATTTTTAGTAAGGGAATGTGTCACAACTGTCATTTTTGCTAGGAAATTCTATTCTCATGAAAACATCATCTATTGTAAGGCTTGTACTCTAAGTGAATATCATACCCTATGTTCAATCAACGTCATCCATTTGAATCCAAACTCTTGAATGAAGGTCAAAACCTAATACAATACATCTCATACGTTCAACTATGAGTTGAAAACCCTAGACATCCCACTATGGACTACGATTCTCTTATTGGGCCTAATGGACCAATAAACCTTCAACTTGAACTACTTTGGGCCTAGAAACCCTAATTGTGTTCTAATTGGACCCACACTCATAAAACTTAACATTTTGAGCCATAATGAGCCTAAAATGGATTAGTTTACCCTAATGGACCTTATTGGACCATAACAACTCCAATTAAACCTAATGGACCTAAAACCCATCCCTTTATCTTATGTTGGGCCGTAAGTACTTCCAAGGGCCCAATGGGCCGAAAATTTATAATTAGACTTCATAAAAATCGAGCAAGGCCAAGGTTAGGCTCAAAACCATTTCATTTTCATTTCTCTTAGCCCATTCTTAGCCCAACATCAATTAACACACAAAAAAAAACTAATCGGAGAAAATGGGGTGACACCTCATAAATAATTGTTGGATATCCATGCAATAGTGCATGTATCCATGCACCTCTCACATCACACCCCTTAAAGAGTCAACTTATCTCCCTCTCATCTCTCACTCTAATTCTCGGCCACACTCTCATTTCTCCAACATCTCTCTTTTCAAACTCAACAATACTTCTCTAGATCATCTAACACTACTCCATCCACTTTGCTTAAGAAAACTGTGAGTATAAGGAAGATCTTCAAGAGAATCACTTCAAGCTTCATTTTGTGGTAAGATCTTGCAAATCCAAGTGTCATACTTCATCTTTAAACTCATTCACTCCTCTTACACCCATGTGTTCGTGAATCATACTCTTAGAGCACCTTAGAGCTCGAAAATCATCTCAATAACACATCTAGGGCCGAGATCTCTTCACTTCTTCATCAACAACCGAAACATCAAAGCAAATGTGAGTTCATACCCCCTACTTTCTATTTTTACATGGTTTTGTGGGAGAATACAAGTTGCTTTATGTAGATCTATGTGTATATGCATGAATGTGTGTGTTTTTCATAACTTATTTGTTGATTATGTGTTATTTACTTCATAGATCTAAAAATATGTTAAGAATATTAAGTTTATCACTTGAATCTACATGCAAATCTTGAGAAAAGTATGTGTTATCACATATAATACATGTAAGATTTATACACTTAAAATAGCAAAAAGGAATGTTGTGTTCAAAGATTTATAATTTTTGGTCCAATCTCGGACTGTTTTGATCAACTTAATGATAATATTTTTCAAAACTGTATTACATGTAAAACTTTCAGGTTTATACCTTTAAAATGACTACTCTCACGTTTTCATACGATATGTCTACAATTTTTGGTGAATTTTACAAAACTGCCTATCAGATTTGAAATAATTTCGGACCAGCCTGTGAAGGTGAGCAATTTCACACTTGTTAGAGGACATTAAAAATTATGAGAAAACATTGTGAACAAGGTAGACAAAATTTCCAAATTCCAGAATTTACGGATCTAAATTTCGACTTACGATGACTTTTCTACAAATTTTTCAATAACTAGGTTAGAAAAGCCAAAAACCAGAAAAAATGTGTGTTTTCACAAAATAGGGGTGTTGATCGGGTAAAATTTTCGGGTATCGGGTAATTTGGGTCGGGTAATTCGGGTTTTCATATAAAAAAAATTACCCGTTACCCTACCAAATTAAATTCGGGTAATTCGGGTTTGGGTAATGGGTCGGGTAAGGGTAATTCGGGTATTACCCGATTTTTTTTTCTTTTTTTTAATTGCACCTAAAAATAAATGTAATGAAATAAATATGTCGTGCTAAACTCTGAACATTAAGATTTTTTATTCAATAATATTTGAGATATCAGGTATTTGTTTATTAATTTAATCAAATATAATAAGATGTTAAAAAACAAATACTTAAAGAAATAATAAGAACCAAAGTCTACCATTTAAACTACTTGATATCAATGTATATGCATCTATTTTGCATTACCAAAAAACTCACGTCTTAAATCTAGAAAACGTAGAAAACCATTACATAGTATGAAAATAATAACAAGTCAAGTTCCAAAAGACATTCATAAATATACTCATCTTCTTGCATCTACTCGTTCTTCTTGCTCATTCACTACTTCACATTACCCAATTCTATATAAAAAAATCAAATAATGTCAGTATTAAAAGCAAAAGATATTAAATTTACAATAACTAAAATAATGAACGATAAACAATTACTTTTGTCAATTTGTTGATTTTCTTCCCAATCTTTTTCATAATAAATTGTGTCACTTATGCTACTCCGAATCCAGACTCATGAGGATACCGCGAGCTGCGAGGCTGTGACCGGTGAGGCGGCGACGGGGACAACCGACTGGAGTAGTGGAGTTGATCTCGATGACCAACGACGAGACTCGATCGGTGAACCCAGAATGAAATTGACCAAGGATTTTTTAGGAGAAAATAGAATGACGAAGGTAGGGAGCTGGGAATGGCCGAATAGGATTTGGACTTTGGATAAACACGGAATGAAATAATGAATCACCGATAACAATAAAAGATATTGGGCCATTATTTGTTCAATAAATTTTTGGGTAATCAGGTATACCCGAAACCCAAAATATTTACCCTTTACCCGACCCCAAAAAAAATCGGGTTACCCAAATACCCGAAAAAGGTTACCCGATACTCGAAAAAACCGGGCGGGTAATTAGGGTAACGGGTATTTTTGACATGGCTAGTCTAAAAGGTTATTTTTACCACAAACTAGTCATAAACACAAGTTTTGAACAAAATGGGGACTAAAGTGTTATTTTCACAAAAATTGGGCCTTAACTGTAAATTTTGGGCTTATTGGGCCAAGAACATCATTTTTATAAAAAGTGGGCCTTTTATGCTATTTTAGTGAATACTTGAACCAAAACGAACAATAAACTAACAAACGATTAATTTTGATCATTTTTAGGTTATTGGGCCTTAGTGGCGCATTTATATGCTTGATAGGTTTTGTATATTAATTGCGTGATATTTGGGCCTATAAATACCTTACATGTGAAATGGGTTTTAGTTGTCCTTTTACATATATTTTGGGCCCATGTTATATAGATCTCATTCCTATTAGGTCTTAAAATGATTCACATGTTTAGTGATGCCCTAATGGCTCACTTACATGGTTCGTTGGGCCTAAAATGAGTTTTATACGTTTATCTTCGCGTCAATTCGATTAAGGATCTAGTGAGTTTTTGTCGGTTGACACCTATTAAGTGTTCGATCATATCCTGTAGTTATAATCAGAGTCTCTTGGAAGGAGAGCGGGGGTTTTGTGTATAGATCTATACGGAGATGACACCCCACACCTGAGTTGTTCGCTACAGTTAGACTACATCGGTCTAGGGTGACTATAATCTTATTCTATTTTTCAATCGGCGTTCACAAACGCCAAGACAGGAGAAATTTTCATTATTTAGTATGTTTATAATGGCTCACTTAGAGAAATTAACGTTATGAAGTTTGCAGAAGACCATTTTCTATTATGTTGGATTGCTAGGAAACTTACTCACACTGGTACTCAGCCTTGGTGTTGGTACGACAACATTAACTATTCTTCTTTTACGGGAAACGTCGGGTTGTCCGGGGACATTCTATTTACATTCTCTTCAATCACTTTTGATGTTCTATTAAACAATAACACACATGCATTAATACAAGATCGGACATAAACATACCAAACTATTTTAAGAAAATGCAGGATTTTCTAGTGACTACAAAGTTATACAAAGCATTTTCTCAAATATACTTATGAACTCACCAATATTATATATGTTGACGTTTTCAAAATAACTTGTATTCTTAGGGACTCGTTAAGCAGAAGAATCAACAAGAATAGGTGATTTTGTTTTGTGTACTGTTAAACATCATACATTGAATGTTTTGGTCATGTTATTTACAAGATTGTACTTGATGTAAACAATGGCAGTTGTATTATATTATGCATGGTAATGATGATGTTATGTTTCATTTATATTCACTGTAATGATATTTCAAGATGAAGTCACACACAAGCCCCCAGATGTTTCCGCCGTCTGGTTCGGGGTGTGACAGAATGGTGTTTTGGGTCTTTTTTATGGGGATTTTCAATGGGTTCAAAAACCCTAGTTTCTTCTTCTTTATGTTATATCAAAGATCATAGATTTGCAGAGGGTTTAATTTTGAGGTAGTGTGTATGTTAATATGTTTGATTTTCTATAGGAAGAAGGAAGAAGATGGGTATGTTCGTATGTTCGTATGGGATGAAAGAGAGAGGGGTAGGTGGGTGGTGAGGATGGATTTCATATTCAAGGAGAATTGGTGGATTTCAAGGTCCGATGATGATGATCCTCGCGGAGGTTCAACAACCATCAGTCGTGGGGAAGAAACAACCACTGGAGGCATAAGGAGGAAATAGATGGGAGGTGATAATCGGTGGTGGTTATGGTAATTTAGATGGGGTTCAAAGTTTTTGGAGGTCAGGGAGGAAGACAAAGGTGTGTCTTTATTGTTTACGAGAGAGAGAGAGAGAGAGAGAGATAGAGAGAGAGAGAGAGATTGTATATTTTATTTATTTATTTTTATTCCTTTAAAAAAAATTATAAAAGTAAAATAGAAAATACAATCGAATCGATTGACATATTTTTCCATTAAATAAATTTAATTATCATCGTACAACAAGTGAGATGGCAAACGGGCAACAAGCTGCGCCGCTACGCCTTTTTGTATAGCAAAGCTCAATCTTTTAAAGACTACATTCATAGAACTAGGGGATATACCATTGCAATGCATGATCCGTTGTACTCTATTAAGAAGCTCTACTGCATCCGGTGCAAGGAAACCAAACGTATCAAACGCAAATAGTATGAACACATGTTGATAAATAAATAAATAAATAAGGGCAAAATGGTTATTATGTAAAAGTACAAAACAAATTGGATCAAACTAGCAACAAAATGAAAACTTTGGACTTGTGGTGCTAGTCCAAAACTTTTTGGACCAAAGTGACAATTTTAAGCAAACCATAGGGACCATTTGTACATTTTAGTCTATGTTTATTTGATGTTTGATTTGCCAAATTAAATATTATTAGTTATATACAACTTTTTTATTTTTATGTAACTATTTCATGGTCATGCTTACCTATAGGCTACATCCATGTCATTGATGTAATGAGTCACGACACGAAACCAAACCAAACTAGTAGTCAATCCATATTTAATATAGATCACAATTCACAAACGTGTTTCAAGCTCTAATTTCGTTAATGGACAAACATCAAAGTTATGGTGGACTTCCTAATCCGTTTTCAAACACAGCCCATACATATTATAGACGTAAGTTGAATGTCTTAAATCACTGTTTTAGCTATACGCACCAGTTTGTGTTTCTAGTCTATCTCCCATTGCTAACGGTTTTTCAGCTGGACACTAAGTATTCCTTTAATTGACAAGATTTGTAAACTCAAGATTTCTATAATAATAATGTCTTTTTCGATTCAATCAAAAGTTACTTGTTCGTCAATTTATCCATGCCTTGAAGGAGAAACTATTCAAAAGGTAACAAACATCAAGTCGAATACAAATTTGAATGTTATTGGGTGTTTGGAATGAAGCTTTTAAGAGCTTTTAAGAAAAAATTCAAAAAAATAAAATTATGTTCAACAGAATATTCTTTTAGTTTTTATTTTAAACAAAAAAATTCAATGTATAAACTACTTCAAGTAGTTTTACAGAACTTTTAGCTTTCTGGTGTTATTAACTTTTGTTTTTTATATAATTTTATACATTTAAAAATAAATATATATTTTTACTCAATACTTCTATACAAATAAAAATTATAACTTCTAGTTTCTAACTACAAACTAGTTTTGCAAAAGGAAAAATGACTTGATAGGGTAAGTTACTTTTTGAAATGTACACATTTAGTACTTATTTTTTTTTTGTAAATTGAACCCTTGTACTTTATTAATATGTACATATTAGGTCCTTTTGACCAGATTCTATAGGTTTTGTTGATGTGGAAGCACACGTGACACTAAAAACAACTGCATAACAATTAATTAGCTTAATCACTCCTTATAAACGAATGTTAACATCCAAAATCAGGAGGAATCACGGTTTTGTCGTAGAAGAAGAAAGAAGATGTCGAGTGGCTCAAGAATCTCCACGAGTTCAAGCAATCATAGAATAGATAAGGAAGTCCTCTGTGATTGTAAACTTGTAACGCTTGTGTTTCTGGGCTTGCCATTTTTAGTAATGTAATAGTCTAGGTTAACCTTTGTAACCCGTTTTGAAATAATAAAAGTGTATTATTTGAGTATTATGTGTTTTGTGCTTAATTGCTTAATTATGTAGTTTGATTAATTAAGAATAAAAATAAGCGTCAAAATTTAAGTGTAAAATAAACTTGATATCTTTAGATAATGTTGTAGTAGTTAGAACAAGGTTTCCGAAGATATAAAGAATGTCGAAATCCGAGTTATAACGAAGAAGTTATGATATGTCGAAGTTTCGCGACAGAACCAGCAACGCTGAATGACGTAAAAAGTGAAATTTACGTTAGAGCGATAGTTAGCCTTAGTGATCTAAACGAGAATCGAAGATCTCGTTGTTAGTATCAAAGCGATAAAAAGTTAGGCGAGAACGGACGTCAAACGAAGAAGTTATGAATTTATAATGAAATTTTCTGTCCCGACCTATTAAAAATAAATAATAAAAATAAAATCAAAATTAGCCGACGGAGTCTAAACGAAAGTTGTAGAGCGTAGTCTCACCTTCGCGTGGATATAAAGAACGTTGAAAACGGAGTTCGTATGAAGAATATATGAATTTTTGAAGTTTATTAAATAATTAATAATTAAATTTAATTATTAAATCCGGCCTTATCCGAAGGCGAGTCACCGGGCTCATCCGGAGTACGCCCCGCGTATAGCGAAGAGTGTCGACACTCGCACTCGAGGACTTCGAATGACGCATGCAGTGACGTTTCGGAGGCAGTACGCCCCGCTCCTTTGCTATTTTTCTCCCTTCTCTCTCCCGTTTTGCATCGTTTTGCGTGCCATAAACACTCCGAAGCCCCGATAATATTCCCGAGTCACGAAGCAAGTCCCGAGATCCCGAAGATCCCGAGAAGTGCGGTTTCCGAGCCGAAGCTCTGCCCGCGAGAAGTTCGATTTTTGTAGAGATCTTCCAGATCTGTTGAGGATTTCTACTTTTCCGAGTCGTAGTGTTGTCCGATCATCTTCTTAATCAAGTGAGTGTATACTACCTTTCATAAACACGATAATAAGACAAGTATGATTTGAGTGTACTAAGTATATTGTTGTTTATATGTGTGAATGTATGGTTACTTTCTTCTAACGCATAATTATCAAGTATTTAATATAAAAATACGTGTTATGTGTATATTTTGTTGTTATATGCGTGAATGTATATTCACTTTCTTCTATCTCATAGAGATGATTTATTCTCTATGAAATACGTGTTATGTGTATGTGTCTCATCTGTTGTTTTGGAATATGTATAGAATGAGAATGCTATGCAGGTTTTAAACTATGTATAAAAATATATTTTTTTTATCTACTAATATGTTGGGTAGAACATGGGTAGATAGTTGGTGTGTAATAAACAGATGAGAGGCCTCGATGTTGTTTTGATCCAGTCATCTAGCGGAATTTAGATGACGACCACGAGCTTTTCTAGACAGTCCAGTGGAACGCTAGCAGGCTCATAACCTGTAGGTGTTAATGAACTTGGGTGTTCATTCGCTGTATTCCATCCCCTTCATGGTTGCCTTATTTGACTTATATTGCTGAGGAACCCCCGAAGCATGTGTTGTCACCCCGATGAAATATTCTTAGACTAGGTCCTTTGTGTTAGTTATTTTAGGGACATAAAGTGAGAATAACAGGAATGGGTAATTGGGTTATTGTTGGTTGATAATAATTAATTTAATTATTTATTGTGGGTTGAAAACCCTATATGCTCACCAGGCTCCCAAGCCTGACCCACTCAGTTTTATTTGTATTACAGGAAGTGGCGCAAGGGGGTAAGATGGATGAACCATCAAGTTGTTTTCTTTACAAGTCTGTATATGTATATATTTGTTGAATGACTTGTAATGTTATCGTTTATGCTTATTAGTCTGTATCGGAACATGACACCCCGAGTTTTGATTATATAATGAAAATACATTTCTTTTATGAAATGCTTTGGTAAACATTGTTTTATCATGTTTTTTTTTTGGGAACAAATTCCGCAACTCTTTCAAATCACAAGGATTTACTCTGAAATTATTTTAAAAGCATAAATGAAAATCGGTCTTTTCTGGCCGAGATTTTGGGGATGTCACAAAACTCCCTACAAGAATTCGTACCTCCAAAACCGAAGATAACCCTGGAAAGAAATTCCAAGTGTGCCTTAACTCATTGGTAAATACCTAAATTGATTTTATTTGTCAAATCGCATCAATTTTCTTCTTCTTACCTTTTATGTTGTTGATTTTATTACTACAAAAACCAGAGAAAAGTGTAAAGTTTGGGAATGGATTGATGAAGAACCTGAGAATATGAAGCCCAATGCAGAAGATACTCTTTTAGATTTTGTAGATTATCTTATACAAGTTTTAGAGGATGTGGCATTTGTTAGAGAAGAAGTGAAACAGTTGAAGGTTATGGTTTGTGTATTGATTTTGTTAGTCATTGTTAAGGTTATGTTTTGGGGTTGAAGCTATGCTTCTGGAGGTTTTAAGGGATGTTGATGTAATAGACCTGTTGTGTAATTGTTGTTTATGTAATGGATGTTGATGTACTTTATGTTTATGTAATGGTAAAGTTTATTGCTATTATGTATGGATGTTGATGTAATTAAGTCAGTCAAATGGAGGTAGAACCAAGACAAATTACAGGAAATATTCTTTTATAGACAATTGGATGTAAAGACAAATAAAAGTTGCTGAAAAAAGGCATCAAAGCCATTTAATAATTACAAAAGATAAGCCCACCAGTAGGGGTAATACAGTAATTTAGTTCAAAATATTCAACAAGTACATCAAAAGTAAACAACTAGTAGGGGTAATATAGTAATTAAGTTCAAAAGATTACCCCACACTACATCAAAATATATATCACATGCATTACCCCACTACACCAAAACCTAATTACTCTAAGGTCACTTTTTTGTCTTGGCTGCATCCAGTTCCATCCTTGACTTTAACATTTTTCTGAAGACTAATTTCTGATATTCTTTCTGAAAACTTTCTCACCCTACCAGCATCATTCAAAGGAACCTTCTTCATAGGACTTCTCTTCACAGGAGCCTTCTTCACAGGAGTTCTCTTGACAGGAGTTGGAGTTGATTAACTTTGACCTGTTGTGCTTGGAGTTGGAGTTGGCTTACTTGGGCACGTGGCTTTGTTGTGGCTAGTTTGGTGGCAAATAGTACATCTTATAGGAATGCATGCCCTTGGCACAGTATCCCTTGTGTGCCCACTTAACTCTGTTTCTGTCTGATCTCTTTTCATTTTGACACATGGCTTGCCAGGTACCCTCCTCCTTAATGGAGGCAAAATAGTATGAAGTCCTTCAACATGTGGACACTCAGAACTGTCATTGAGTGGGTGGATGTTATACTTATAGCTACTAAGTAAAGAGGCTTTAGTATAGGAGTTTGATACAAAAGCCTCCACATCTAGGTTCAATGATGAAATTGTTGATATGGCATGTACACATGGAATGCATGTGAGTTGCCAACTTCTACATCCACATGACCTCTAAGTCAAATCAACATCATACCTCTTATTTCCTGAGAACACTTCAAATTCTTTGTAGCCACTTACATAAGTTACCCAAAATATGTCAATATACAAGAAGATAGTCAGTTACCATTATAAACCAATGTATAACTAATGAAATTGTTACTAACCTTTGCAATTCTTTCAAATCCTCTATCTCCATTCTGATACTTAGGCATATGTCCAAATCCCAACTCAAACCTTTTCTCTTCTGCATCCATAACCTCTGCATTGCCCAACATCTTATGTCCTCCAACATTGTTATCACTGGTTTCCTTCTAGCATCAAGTACAGCAGAATTGAAACTTTTAGAAACTCAATTCTTTATTGCATCACAGTCCATACCCTCTCTAAAAAAAGCCTTTTACCAACACCTTGGATCTCTGTCTATAAGATAGTCATAAGCCCTATTTTCCAAGGACTTAATCTCATTCATTGCTGCTTCAAACTTTGGTATATTTGTTTCATTCACATCCCTCCAAAATGGTTTAAAGTATTGTTCTCCTTTAATTTTTTTTTTAAAGGAAATTAGCTAGAATGTGTCTAGCACATAATCTATGCTCTACATCAGGAAGTCTTTCCTTCACAACTTCAAATAATCCATGATTCAAACAATTAAATGATTAGTTAATTAAATGATCAAAACAATTAACGTAAACTGAAAAAGTATATATAATGATTACCTTGTGGCCATATGAGAGGATTGTAATGTCATGACCATTCCCCCCTCCAATTTCTTCCATCAGGTTGTCCAAAAACCATTTCCATGTCCTTTTGTTCTCAAAATTCGACTACTACCCAAGCTAAGGGATAGATGTTATTATTAGCATCTCTACCCACTGCTGATAGGAGCTCCCCTCTACAAACACCCTTAAGAAAGCAACCATCAACCCCAATTACCTTTCTGCATCCATCTAACCAGCCATCCACAACACCTTTAAAGATAACATAAAACCTATCAAACACCACAGTATTATCATGTTGTGGCTACAAGAACACCTCAACATGTGAACCTGGATTTGCCCTTCTGATTTCAGGTGCATAATCCCACAATTTGGCATAATGTTCTTTCAAACTTCCCTCAACTTCAGACAATGCTAACTTTTTTGCATTCCTACACTGCCCAACAATCACATTAATTTTGTATCTCTTAGATACTATGGCTTTCATTTTCCTCAAACTCAGTTTAGGACTCTCAAAAACATCATTCACAAATTGTTTCCCTATCCACTTATATATATTACAATTGACCCAAGTTTGAATGCCCTAGAGCACTTGTGCTCTGTTATAAGAGACTTAATCTAAAAAGTGTGTTCCTCTTTCATCCAAGAAGCATACACTCTAAAAGGGCATTTTGGATTCTTTCCTTTACAACACCTAACTAACAACCTATTCTTGTCATTCTTTTCATACCACAAATCATGACCATTTGCTACAACATAGCAACTAAGAGAGTATTTAAGTTCAGCAGTAGTAGAGTATTTCATACCTAATCGAGGCTTCATCTCATTCCATTCCTGAGTATGATCATGTCTTGGGTAGATAGGTCGTATTGCATTATGATCTTCTTCAACCAAGTCATCATTCTGTATTGGACAAAGTTTGTTGAGGAATTGATCATTGAAGTTTCTTTTGAGAGATATAACTTCATCATCCTCTACATGTTCAACTTTCAGACCATCTTCTAAAATGGAGTCAACATCATCAATAGAAACCAAATCATCATCTTCAAGGTCTGTTTCTTCCTCCTAAATCCAATCAAATAAAGGTTCATGATGATGATCCACATACATATCCAATCTCTTCTTTTCATTGATATCTTCAAGAAACTCGTTAAAATCGCAGTCATTTTGAATGGCATGTAATCCCTACGACAACCTCACTTCATGTAGACAGTAATACACATCTCTGCATCTTCCGTTAGTAAGCTTTTCAAGAAAGGGGATGAAATCAAGGAAGTTCGTCTTGTTCACAATCATGTATGGTACAGAGGCTTTTACTCCATCAAAATACATCAATAAGGTGGGTGTGAACATCCCATTATAGTGTACATCAACGATTGTATCTGCATCTTCTGTCATTGTTGATGGTGATTGTGAGTCAAGAAGTTTGAGGGATTATCGGCTGAGTGAATGGAGGAATGGTTGATTAAATGAGCCTTAATTGTCGTTTCAATGTGGTGTAATTTAACAATATCCACATAAAGTGAGATGTGGATGCCACCTGGTTATTTCATTTCAAGAAAATAAAATAAAATTCATATATGACCGGTATACTGGGTATAGCCGGTCAAAATGATTGCATAATTACAAAAAATTGGGTATAAGGGTTTAATTTACAAAAAAAAATGAGGACTAAATGTGTACATTTCAAAAAGTATCTTACTCTATCAAGTCATTTTCCCTTTGCAAAACACACATGATATTAAATGAAAGTTACAAATTCTAGTTTATAACTATAAATTAGTTTTGCAAAACACACATGATATTAAATAAAAGTTACAACTTCTAGTTTTATAACTACAAATTAGTTTTGCAAAACACACAAGATACTATATCAAGTAGTCTGATATTAGTTTTAGGGAAATAGAATTATTAAAGTAATTCACTTTTCGGTTTGTTCACATTTAGGTAATTTTTTTATACACATCTAGGTAATGAATATTTGGGAAGTGTTCACATATGACCATTATGATCGGATGTAACATGCTACAGCGGGTCATAATGGTCATATTTGAACACTTTCAAAAATTTCGTTACCTAGATACGTATTAAAAAAAAAATTACCTAGATGTAAACAAACCGAAAAGGTAAGAGTAAATTACATTAATGGTGCCTATGCTTTTGGGTAATTTGTGTGTTTGGTCTCTAACTTATTTTTTAACTCGGATGGTCCCTACTGTTTATTTTTGTTGCAAGTTTGGTCCATGTCTTACCTAAAAAGACTATTGTGCTCTTATTAAGTTATTTGTTAATTAATTTTCTTATATATGTATTTATTTTTTATATATTTAAAAAATTTAAAGACCCCACATATATGTATCTCCTCACCCTAAACTTGAAACCACATTTGAGAAATTTAATCTGAGTCCTACCAGTCACCATCTCATCTCTCATCATCCTCAACTTCTATTTCATTTCCATCTTTAGTGACATCGACGTCTTCACCATCCCTTCTTTTTTCGGTCCTTCAACTTCGGCGAACTAACACCACAACCCACTGTCTCTTCATCGAAATTTTCACCACCATAAGCCAATGCATCACAATCCTTGCAGTAAAAGAAAACTAATACCAGAAAGAAAAAATGGAGAACTAGATCAATTAAAAACCATAACTTGATATGCAAATCAAAACATGAAACTCTATTAACAACATTTTAAACTTTAACTCATCAAATGATGTGTTTTTTACATTATTGATCTCCATTTCTGATGCTTTTAGCCTCTAGTAAATTAAATTTTTATATTTAATATTTTAAACAATAAAATTCTATAAAACCACAATGTGTTCTTTTTCTATGTCAAATTTAGAGTTTTTTTTTTTTTTTTTTTTTGGTTTTTTAACAAAGTAGTGTATTTTAAGAAGATATTCACCAAAATGGCATAGTTTTAAAAAGATTTATCATTTAGGTTAAATTTTATACCAAATCAAAATTAGAAGGTAAAATAAAAGTGAAAAGAAATTGACTTATCAGGGTAATTAACTTTTCGGCTTGTTCACATCTAAGTAACTTTTTTTTGTACACATCTAGGTAATAAACTTTTTGGAAGTGTTCACATATGACCATTATGATCGACCTGTTGCAGCCGCTCATAATGGTCATATATGAACACTTTCAAAATGTTCGTTATCTAGATGTGTATAAAAAAGAAATAATTACCCTTATGGAAACAAAAAAAAATTACCCAGAAACTATTCAAAAGGTAACAAACATTAGTTGACTACAAATTCGAATGTTATAAGGGTGTTTGGAATGAAGCTTTTAAGAGTTTTTAAAAAAAAAGTTCAAAAAAAAAAAGTTATGTTCGACAGTATATGCTTTTATTTTAAATTTAAACAAAAAACTTTCAATTTATAAACTACTTCATGCAGTTTTTTTTAGAACTTTTAAATTTATGGTGTTTTTAACTTTTGGTTTTTATATAACTTTACACATTTCAAAGTGAATATATATTTTTACTGAATACTTCTATACACATAAAAGTTACAACTTCTAGTTTCTAACTACAAACTAGTTTTGCAAAACACACATGATATTAAATAAAAGTTACAATTTCTACTTTATAACTACAAATTAGTTTTGTAAAACACACATGATATTAAATAAAAGTTACAACTTCTAGTTTATAATTACAAATTAGTTTTGAAAAACACACAAGATCTTATATCAAGTAGTCTGATATTAGTTTTAGGAAAGTAGATTTATTAAGGTAATTCATTTTTTGGTTTGTTCACATCTTGGTAACTATTTTTTTTGTACACATCTAGGTAACGAACTTTTTAGAAGTGTTCACATATGACCATTATGACCGCATATAACATAGTATATCCGATCATAATGGTCATATGTGAACACTTTCAAAAAATTCGTTACCTAGATGTGTACAAAAAAATAGTTACCATTAATGGTCCCTGTGGTTTGGGGTAATTTACGTGTTTGGTCCTTAACTTATATTTTTAACTTGGATGGTCCCTACTGTTTATTTTTATTGCACGCTTGGTCCATGTCTTACCTAAGAAAGCTATTATGCCCTTATTAATTTATTTTTTATTTAATTTTCTTATTTATGTATCTATTTTTTTATATATTTTAAAAAATTAATAGACCCTACATATCTGTATCCCCTCACCATAAACCTAAAACCACATTTGAGAAATTTAATTTGGGTCCCACCAGTCACCATCCCATCTCTCATCCTCAACTTCTATTTCATTTCCAACTTTAGTGACATCGACATCTTCATCATCCCTTCTTTTTTCGGTCTTTCAACTTTTGCAAACCAACACCACAACCTACTGTCTCTTCATTGAATTTTCCACCACCACAACCTAATGCATCACAATCCTTGCAGGACATGAAAACTAGTACCAGAAAGAAAAATTGGAGAATTAGATCCATTGAAAACCATGGGTTTGTTGGTTCTGTAAGAAGCGTCGTTGATGGATTTTTTAAGGCAGCAGTCGCTGGCGCTAGGTCTTGAAGAAACGATGTTAGATGAGGTAGACACCAGTGGTGAGTAACGCCGGTTCAATTTCTCTGAATCTTTCTTTGTGGTGCATCAGAGGGTTTCTATTGAAAAGTCCTAAGTCCCACCCTTTTAGGTGAGAGACGAAAAGAAAAAGAAAAAAAATAATAAACCTAGTATATTTTTTCTACTATGTAAGGTTTATGGTTGGTTTGCTGAGAAAAGTAGTGGTTTCTTTGTCGAGCTGGGTATGGAACGAAGATGCAGCAGGGATGTAACGGGAAGTGTTAATCGAATAGAGACAATGAAGACTGCGGTTGGTTCTAGGGTTCTTCATCTAAAGAGGGAGGAGACCGAGTGTGGATTAACGGTGAGGTGAAGAAATGGAGAAGTGGGGTGGTATTAGGGATTTTGAATCAGAAAAGATAGAAAAGAGAGAGAGAGAGAGAGAGAGAGAGAGAGAGAGAAGTAGCGGTGGCCACCAATCCAATCCCTATTAGCCTAAACAATCGATGCCATTGGAAAGTGTAGTTGGTGACACTGTCTCGAAGAACACCAAACAAGGATAAATAATTAAAGTAGGAAAGGAAAAAAAAATCAACCAGTCACATTCAGGAACTGTTCACTAAGGGGATTGTAAATGAATATATATATATATATATATATATATATATATATATATATATATATATATATATATCTATATAGATATAGATATATATATATATATATATATATATATATATATATATATATATATATATATATATATATATAGGTAAAGGTTCAAATGAGAATCACTAAAAATTAGGAACTCTAAGAACCACTATTATTAAGGCTATTTTTCTTATTTCATAATACCCGATGCATTACTCTCGTTTTACAAAAACAAAAGGAATTATCTCATCTATTTCAACCACCTGTGATAAATACCACGACCACCACTGCCGACGGCCCAGTTCCGCCACCATGGCTGCTCCACCACCGCCACGGCGCTCACTGCCGCCACCATCATCGACGCCAGCTCCACCTCCTCTACCTCCCTTCCTCTCTGCATCTTCCGATTACCTGCGAGAAACATACATCTGTCGCACAAGCTTCAGATCTGGAAGCGCCACTTTCAGATCTAGATATGTTTTCACTGCCTCTTCTCGTTCATTACTTCGATTCTCCGTTAACGACCTCAATCTACCACCAACAACTTGGCCTCCTTCAGTTCCATTCTATCTCTAAATTGCAAAAAGGTTTCAGATCTAGAGAGAGAGCATTACCACCGACGTTAAATCACCTCCACCACCTCCAGCGTCAAACAACCACCTAGATCTGACAGAGCACTAAAAAGCTTATTTGATATGCTTTGCAGGAACACTAGATCTGATGGAGAATGAAGTTATTTGTTGCCTCCAGATGACCGAACACCTCCAAATTTGTTTTTTTAGCCAATCTCATCTAGATCTGAAGCTAAGAAGCACTCTCAGATCTGGAAACAAGAGTTTTGAAGATGTTTGATGATATGCTCATGAAAAAGGTATGTTTTAAGTTGTGAATGATGTAAATGTGTTATTTCATGTTAGATTTGGTGTTTATATGTGTGGTGTATTTGTATTGTATCTGGTGATGTTGTTTGCATAAAAAAGTTCTGCAAAAAAAAAAAAAAAAAAAAAAAAAAAAAAAAAAAAAACACACACACACACTAGGTGCTTGATGAAATGCCTCAATGAAATTAGATAAATTATTGAGTTGTAAATTTAGTTGTGAATGTTACTAGTAAAGTTTTTTTTAGAGTTAAACAATGAATAAATTGTTAGTATAACGTCTCTTTGTATATTTGTTCAGATCTTCTGTTTTATGGTGATTATGGATATGACGTATATGGTGAAAACAACGTGTTTTATGAAATGCTTTAACGAAATTCGGTAAGTTATTAAGCTATGAATATTTGTTTTTTATATATTAATTTGTGAATATATAAATTATTATAATGTGATTATATATTTTGTTTATTCACTAAATTGTGAGTTAGTATCTGCGGATATTGAATTATGTTGTGAATTAATGTTTCAAATATTGAATTAAACTGTGAATTATGATTTTTTTTATATCTTGATCTGATTTTTTTTATTCAATAAATTGTATATGTTTTTCTTTTGATGTTTGGTTCTCAAAGATGAGATAATTTATGTATATATTAAATTGTGGATAGTTTGTTTAATACACTAACATAAGAGATTATACTTGTAAATGAGCTATAAATATATCATATTAAACTGTGAATTTTGTGTATTAAGTTGTAAATTTTATTCATGACTTAATATAATAAATTCACAATTTAATGCATAGAAATGTCTGCATATATGAACGTATAAATGTAATTTTTAAGTTGATAATATTTATGTGAATAAATAATTTTATGTATTAAACTGTGAATTGACTATATTAAGTTGTGAATTGATTGTACTATGTTGCGAGTTTGTTATGAATTTTGTATTTGCTTCTGAAATATAAGAAGAAATAATCATTATACACATATATGATTTTTTCTAAATTTAAATAGATTATACAAAAACTCAAATTTAGAATATTGTATAAATTTAACTTTGAAAATAAACACTAACCTTCATATATGAAAATATAAATGTATGTTTTGAGTTAAGAATATGACATTTCAATATATTAAATTGTTAATTTAATATATTAAGCTGTGAACTTTTTATATTAAACGGTAATTGATTATATTAACTTGTGAACTGATATCTGAAAGTGTAAATGTAAGTTTTAAGTTAAGAATATGACATTTAAGTGTATCAAATTTAATTTACTATATTAACCTGTGAATTTTATGTATTAAACGGTAATTGATTATATTAACTTGTGAACTGACTGCAACTTACTGTGATTTTTTTTATATATAAATTTTGTGTTAACATATAAATGATTTATGAATGAACTTTTGTATTAATGTTAGAATACATTTATTTTTTGTGTTGTATAAGTACGTAAGAATGCATTAGTTTTTTTAATTTTTTTGTATTAAATTCAATATGAGTGAATTAATAGATTTATTAAAGAGTAAATTACACGAATGGTCCCTATGGTTTAAAGTAATTTGCGCGTTTGGTCCCTAACTTATTTTTTTAACTCGAAAGGTCCCTACTGTTTGTTTTTGTTACGCGGTTGGTCCCTATCTTACCTAAAAAGACTATTATGCCCTTGATTTTTTTAATTTATCTAAATAAACACACCCCTAATCCCACCCCCTCACCTACCCCATCATTTTTACCTCTTTAAATAATAGTCTTTTTAGATAAGATAGGGACCAAACGTGTAACAAAAATAAATAGTAGGGACCAAACGCGTAACAAAAACAAACCATAAGGACCTTCCGAGTTAAAAAAATAAGTTAGGGACCAAACACGCAAATTACCTCAAACCATAGGAACCATTCGTGTAATTTACTCTTTATTAAATTATGAATGTAGTATTTACCCTCTTATTGCATTACTTTATATGCAGATCTGATTTTCAAAAAAAGATGGTTGTAATGTTGGCATAGGTGGTTGGTGGTAGTGGTAAAGTTTGGGTTTTCCTTCTTTGAATTTGTTAATTGGTATGAAATGAATTATATTAAGTTGTGAATTTTATCTATTAAACTGTAAATGGATTGTATAAATTTGCATTTTACATAAATTTTGGGTTAAAAATATAAAATGATTGTATGAGTGAAAATATTAGACTAAAAAAATACAATTTTACCCTTATCTTAACAAACAAACCAAAATTAAGATTTTAACATAGTTAGTAATATTTACAATACATATTACTTATTAAATGTTAGTTCTTAGGGTTCTTAATCTTTTGTGGTTCTCATTTTGATTCCTTTTATATATATATATTATATATATATATATATATATATATATATATATATATATATATATATATATATATATATATATATATTTCCACTTACGTATGTGAAGTTTACCTTTTGGTTTCTAGACACGAAAGCCATTAGTTTTGTAGAATTTATACCCTAAATAGTTGGTTTTGCTTTGTATCATTGAAAAATAAAATCACAAGATAAGTGTTAACGTACTTTAATAATGGTTGATCTTAAAATCTTATAAACAAAAACGATGACAAACAAACTAGGATCCATCTAAAATATAATTAATATTGGGATCTTAAGATCCCGACTAGGATTCTAAGATCTTATCTCGATCTGATCCCACCTCTTTAGCTCTTTAGTTTTGTGTATAATCCAATTTAGAAAATCTTTCATTAAACTAGAAATCTAAAATCAAACGTCACATTATACAATATGTCTCATAAAACATCAAAACTTTATCCGTTCATTTCTTAATGTATTTTGATCCGTTCATTTCGAATTATACATTATCGTGAAATTCATGATGTTCCGCTGTTGATCTTATACTTTTAGTTTTTCAGTATAAGATGTTTTCATCCCTAATTTATGTGATTTGTACAAACAAAAACTATGATTCATGCTAAAATTAATTCTACAATTTATATCTTAAGCAATGTCGGTACTACACAAACATGACCTTGCAACAAATTCGAAGACTAAATTCATTTTGGTAGGATCCTACGATTCCGATCCAATCTTAATATCATGATCTTGAAAAACATAAAACGATCTTAAGATCCCAATTTTGACAACCTTGTTATATAACGAGTAGCAGTTTAAGATTGATAATTTAACATCTAATAAGACTTGTAAAGATGATCACATCTCAATTTTCAAACACATTTCCAAACTATCATCACATATCATATTTAGATCAAACAATCCAAAATTCAAAAGACTACAACTTACTACACGTTTAACTTGTTAACAGCCGTAACTCTCATGCTGCTGTTTATCATCACCAGCACCTTCCACAAGTCTCTCATGTGAACCAAAACAGAAGCACTGGTTCACTGTTGATCTCCTAACGCTATTCACCACCCCTTGTTCTTCATCATCAACTCCATCATCAAACATCTGATTGGAACTGGATGAACCCACAACATCAATTCCTACACCTTTATGATCATCCAACGAATTCTGTGAGGAAGATAATGATGATTTCGAGAACGAATTTGATCTCGACCCTCGATTTAAATGTGGCATCGCCTGCATAACTCCATTAACAAAACCAGAAGCAAGCTTCTTTTTAACAGTTGGACTGGGAAGATTACTCCTTGCAGCAAGTGTTCTCTTGTTGTTTAACAATGAAGTCGAGTATTGTTGTCTCAATGGAACCGGAATTTCCTTCACATTGTTAGTCAAAACCAAACCCCCGTTTCCATTCCTCTTTCTAATCCACCTCAGGAATCGCTGAATCCCCTTCTGTTTCTTCTTCTTGGATTCCACATTCGAGTTCGAATTATTTGAACTCGAATCGAGTTGACTCAGCTCTCCAGAACGCATGCTGAACACTGGAGTACCGAAAGCAGTGGAGGATGTACTTTCCATTCCTGTGTACAAGAACATTTCAGAATCAGAAAGTTTGAAGGAACTCCCCGGACTAGCACCACCACCACCACCACTGCCACTGCCACCACCGCCCATTTTCAACCGGGAAGCAATGAGTTTTCTTGCTGTGTAGTCTTGGCTACTGAGAGTTGCTCCGGCGGAAATAAGTTGTCTGGTGAGTAGTTCAGATGAAGCGGATTGTGGTCTTTGTTTAAGAAGATCGAGTGGGGCCATACCATTATTGTCACGGATGTTTACATCAAGTGAACCCACTATTATAAGCAGTTCGATTAGGTCACTGTGAAGGTTTCCGTTAATGGCCAAGTGAAGAGCAGTTCTTCCTCCGTTATCTTTAGCGTTAATGGTTTCTTCAATTTTGCATGTTTTTGAGCAGACTAATTGTTTCATGAGACCAATTTGGCGATCAAGTCGCCGGAAAGTGGGTGTCTGGAAACCTGTTACCGCTTTATGTAAAAACGTCTCTCCGGCGTCGTTTCTTGAATGGACGGAAGAAGGAGATGCTTGGATTAGAACTTTAACGGCGGATAATTGGCCTCTGTAAGCAGCTGTATGGAGTGCTGTGTTGCCTTGTTTGTCGGTGGAGTTGATAATGTCAAACGACGAAATAAGATGTTTGACCACCTGCATTTTAATTTTTTGTTTTAGACCTCATACTTTCAAAAACCACAAAACAAGTCCCTCAATCAGAAACTATTAGTACAATATAACATGGCTCGTTGACGAAAAAAAAAATAAAGAATAGTCCTTTTGTATGTCATTTCGCAGATTGCAAAACGAGTCAAAACACATAAGTTTTTATAAGAAATATATGTTAGAACAATTAGTCAATTAACCATAACATATAACCTAAATCGACCAATATTCACTTTAATCGGTTGAAATTATTACCTCAATGAAGTTGAAGATACAGAAGAAAGAGACTCTTACCTCAATCTGTCCTCTGGCAGCTGCCGTGTGTAAAATCGTTGAGCTTTGAACATCTCTAAAACCCAAAACATCTTCACCGGAGCAATCACCAAGAACCTCCTTCAATATCTTCAAATTACCACCTCTCGCCAACGCATGAACGGCTCTGTTCTTCATTTCTTGCTTGTAACCACATGGGATCTCGTTATCCCCAATCTGTTCTTCACCACTAGACATCAATCGTGGAGACATCGCGAAATCATAAATGATCCAAAAAACCTCGCTGTTCTTGCTCCTCGCAGCAGCATATAATACATCAGTCACACCATACTCTCCTTCTCCAAATACCAAAAGAGGGTCTTTTTGTAACAATTCTTGAACAAAATGCAAATCACCGGCGGATGCAGCGGTATACAGAAGCCAGCCCCCATAGCCAACTCCGATTAAGGAGCTTTTTCCTCTTTTGGATTCGCCTTCATATAAAAGCTTCCGGGCGACCGAGCATCGGTTTTTGGCAACGTCGTCGAACTGTTCTTCGTCATCCCAGACGACTTCAAGGCGGCGTATGCGCCGGAGGGATGTTAGTTTGATTAAGTGGTTGCCGTCAAGGCGGAGAAGCTCCCGGACCAAGTCGTAGTGACCGTTGGCGGCTGCCCAATCGATCGGAGATGCGTACCACCATTGGTCTCCAGTGCTTTCCCATCGAAGGGGGAAATATGTCGGAGCCATTGATAAACAACAGTCTCTCTAAATACTAAATAGAATAGATAACTCCGAGCTCTGTTAACATACGGATGTGCAAACCATTGTGTTTTGTGTAGGGTTCAAGTTCAACCACACAGATTCAAGATCTGCAATGATGAAAAATCCGAAAAGGTAAGGTAAATAGTCGGTATCTTAACTAAGAAGATTTAATTATAACGCATGTAGAGTGTTTGTCGACTTAAAAAAGGAAAGGAAATTCAGAGTACTCCTATATTGGGATTAAAGGTTGTTAAGAAGAAGCACACAAACCCAATCAAAGCACAGAGGCATGTGAGAGAAATCACCATGGCATGTCAGAGACATAGGCATGCTCGCTTGAAGGATCACATGACAAAATAATTACCCATTAACAATTTTCTTTCCACAAAGGCAATCACATTAGATTTTGAACACAAAGAATCAAAGAAGAAAGGGGTTTTTTCGTAATCATGATTCGAATAAAAGCAAGACAAAAAGAAGAGAACATCATCCTACTCACCTGCGTTAGATATAACCGAAAGACACTGTTGATCCCTTCGAAAGATTAGAAAAAAATTAAATAAATAACCCAATTTATGGTGCAAAGGATAAAAGGGGTGAGATGTGTACATGTAAGTATGGCGGGAACAGTATATTATATATGAGAAAAAAAGAAAGATTCGATAGTGAAAACTGTAAAGGGGGAATGGATAAAGATGGGAGTACCTTGGGAAGAAAGTTGCAGAGCAGGTGTTTGACGAAATTGTTGAGAGAAGAGAAAGATGAAAAACAGGTCTGGAGAATATCGATGAAATTAATGTCTGAGTTGCGAGATTCAAGAGATTGGAAGACGAGACTGAGCCTTCGCCCTTCGCGCCTTGTCGTTATCGTAACGCGGGAGTATCAACAGTATTGTTAACACGTCGGTTAACAACTGGTACAAAACAAGATACTCTCATTTATCTTTAATCAAATTTATATAGGCGACAAGTGAGAGTCGGACTAGTAACTAGTTGGAAACAAGAAAGAATTTTATTTTTTTATTTTTATTTTTTTTAGTAATTTATACGGTGCAAAAGCTATATTTATTTTTTATTTTTAAAAATTAATTCGAGTATCTCTTGTATGGTGTGTGTATATATATATATAGTATTAATTAATTTGAATTTACATATTTCATTCTTTACGAGACTTGAGATAACTAAAACTAATATGTGAGTCGTGGTGAACCATGGTCACCTTGGTTACTGCTGTTCGACGTTAATCCAATGTAGTAGTATTGAAATGCGCTATTACACAGGAAGATGCATTTGGGGTGGCCAAGATGATGATTCATTTTTCTTTATTTTGATGTTCAATGTATATTCTGGTACATGAACATTAACTTTCACAATCCGGAAAAAATAGTATAATATGACAAACCTTAATTAAAAATTAGGAGAAAATAACAAATTTGGTCCTCCCCATTTACTCTTGTTTTTCTTTAAGGTTTTGCCCGGTGTTCCAATTATAAAAAAAATGGTCATTTAAAAAAATAGCAGTTGATATGTTAAATTTATATAAGCAAACTAAAATATTTTGTTCTCGTAATGTCTGGATGAAATGGAATTTCCCTCATAGTTTTTGGGATTCTTTTATCAAAGGGTAAAATGGTAGCTGAGTAGTTAGATATCAAAATTGTTAGGAAACATCAAAATAATTATAAAAAAAATTGCAAAGCACTTCCATTAAGGACCAAAATCGGCTAAAATCAAAAACCAAAAATTTAAAATTTAGTTTCAAGATTTACCGAACCCATTCAAAATAACTATGAGTTACACCTCCTAAATTTGCAAATATATTAGGGAGGATAACAACGCCTTTCTTTGATAAAATATCATCAGCTTCAGGGTCGGTAGGATGATTAGCTGCTTCGATTATGAATTTCGCCTTAACTCGTTCACATTTTCCTTTATTATCAAATATTAATGTAACACCCGTTTTCAGAATGGTTCGGCTTAGAAGGAGTCAAAAGCTTGGTTCTTGGAAAAAGTTGGGTGTCACGACCAGTGACAGATCCAGTATCAAAGTAAAAGGGTATCCCCAACAAGTAAAGGGGTATCCCAAACAAAAAAACTGTGTAATACACTATAAGAAAAAAAAAATTCGGAAAAAATTACACTACTAAATTTTTTTTAGGGGTATCCTAGGCTACCCCGGGATATATACTAGATCCGCCTATGCTCACGACGTAACCATAGAGAGGTCACGACATGACCATAGAGAGATCATGACATGAAAAACAAAAGTAAGAAGCGCATTTTAGAATCGTCCTCACAACGTAAGACATAGGGTGTCACGACGTGAGGTAGGTTGCAACCCAAGCCCATGATCTTTTAGGGTTTCCTTCATATTTAAACCCCTCTAAGTCGATTTTAGGATTCATTATCAGCCTCCATCACCTCTTACCTCAGAAAAACCCTAACCATAGTTCCCTTGGAGATTCTTGTCCCTTTGGAGCATTTGGTAGTTTGAAGAAGAAGAAAAAGGAGAAGAAGGTGTTTTAGTTGTGGATTTAGCAATGAAACTTCATCATCATCATCTTGTGCTCTTGTTGGACCCTTGTAAGTGTCCAAGATCCATAGTTTATTGCTTGATGTGACTAGATCTAAGTTGATGTCCCATGTCCTTCATGTTTGAGCAAGTTTGAATGGAAGGAATTCATAAATTTGGCAACTTTATGTATTCTAAGGGTCCCTTAAGTATTATAAGGTTTAGATCTAGAATTTGGTTAAGTATTGGATCCATGCATGTGAGTTTTGGTATTATCTCTTCACTTTTGACCTAGAATGGATGGAGGACATGCATGAGGCATGCATATCTATAAATTAATCATTTTTATGGGCCTTGGGAGTCCTCTTTAGCTTCTGGAAAAGTGAGAGTTAGATACTTAACAGATTAAGGACTCAAATCTTTGGATTGTTGCTTTATACTATACCACGATATGGCACTAAGGGTGTCACGACATGACCATCAAAGGAGCCCGCATCTATTGTGTCTTTTGGTGCTCACAACATGAACAAGGAATGTTCAAATCATGAGGTTTGCTTAATGGGTTGTCCGTGACCGAGTTGGTTGAGTTGGAGCGGGTCGAGTTGGAATCGGGTCGAGTGTGCTCTCACGACGTGACCAAGGGTTGGTCACGACATGAGGCTCGATGGTTGACATTATTGGCTGTTGATTTTGAATTTGAACGTTGACTTTTGGCATTGATTGAACTTTTTTCAAATTTCTATTTTGTTAGGAGGTAGACTTAGGGTTTAACTTATATGGATTATAGGGAGGTGTTTAGCACCCATTCATTGGTTGGGGGACCAGTTAGTTCTGGTCGACGTGGCATTGAGCTGAGTTATAGTCAGCTTAATTTGCGAGTCAGGTGAGTCTTCTCACTATACCATGTAGAAAGACCAAGTGGTGGCCCTTGACAATTACATGAAAGACTTGGATATTACTCCTGAAAATTGTATGCAAGACTAGAGTTTGGACCCTGAAAATTATATGTAGGATGCTAATTGTCTTTGTGATACTTTCATAGAAGACTAGGAGGTGTCTCTTGGCACTTGTTTGTAAGACCTGGGTTTTCACCCACGACATGGCAAGGAAAGACTATGGTGCGGCTCATAACATAATAGTGATTGTAAGACTATGGTTGCCACATAGCATTCCCTAATGTATGTATGGTATGTGGTATTTTAGGGAACTCACTAAGCTTTGTGTAACATCCCAAAAATACCGAGCAAAATTTTCTTTTTTTAAATAAGTCAAAACCATTCATACATTATCTCAAAAGACGATTAGAGTAAAAGTATTCTAATACATCAGAGTAAAATCATAAATATTCATTGCAGAATAAATCTTCAGGGGATGCAGTGCGATAAAGCCGAACTCTTCCTTTTAAAACTGGAAATACCTGAAAATGTTTAAACAACAAAAATGTAAGCACAAAGCTTAGTGAGTTCCCTAAATACGGCATACCACACATATATGTTAGCTCAAGGATGTATCAGTTCTATTTCATCCCGAGTCTATTTCAACTCATATGTCAGCACAAAGTTGTACTGATTCTATTTCACCCCCAAGTCTATTTCAACTCATATGTCAGCACAAGGTTGTACCGGTTCTATTTCACCCCACATATATATAGCAAACAGGCACACTGGCATACAACACATACAACAGGAGTCACAAAGACTACAAACACATACAATCCCTAGTGTTCTATAATATAGTGAACAAACTTACCTAAACTACTCATTAGAAGCTCAACCGTCACCTCAACAACATAATAGCCAACCCAAGCTTCTTATAGCCAAACCGAATCAATCCTTAGACAAATTTTCAATTCTAATCAAGTTTGACCAAAAGTCAAACATGTCAAAAAGTCAAAGGTCAACGCTCAAAGTTAAACAATCAACATGTAGACATTGCCACGTTGTGGCCATGTCAGGACAAAACAATCGATTTTTCAAACTATGTCAAGTCGTGTAAACTGTATGAAGTTCCATTTCATCATTAAGCACTTAATCCTTACATATCTAAATCCAAAACTTCAGATCTACTCCTTCTCAGTGACTTAATGGATAAAGTTTCCAACTTTATGCATTAGAACTTCATCCAAAGGTAAAATCATGAGCCCTAAGTCCAATAAGCATGTAATATGACCAAAACTCAAACCTGGGATGAAGAACACTCGAGCTAAGACCTTTTTCTCACTAACTTATAAGTTCAAGACCATGAGAAAACCATATCAAGCTCTAGAGTTCCTCAAACTCCAAGAGCATCTAAGAATGTGACCAAAACATCCAAAAATGGACTCAAACATCAAACAAGAAACACAAAGGTCAAGATATGAACTTTATACCTCCAATAACTTAAAAATGTGGAGGAGATGTTGGATCCAAAATTGTTCCCTGCTTCCTTACACTGAAATGAACTTCTTTCTTATCTAAGTTTCCCCAAAATAGGAC